CCCCAAAACCCCAAAACCCCAAAACCCCAAAACCCCAAAACCCCATCTCCCAGATTCTCCATTGATAAAGTTCATATTGTATCCAACTAGTTGAAGTCGGCAACATGTTTGTGAAGCATTCTTGCAGAAGTCTGCTCAACATATCCATCTCTTGTATCAAATTGTTGAATGTCTTTCCATACTTTCTTTGCCATCAAATGGTATCCGTCTGCATATGTGCCATACTCCTTTCCATCATGCACAATGATTTCATTGTCTCCCTTCAGCTTGTCAACTTCGAAACTGTTGAGTCTGTGCATTGAATCTTTGATGAATCCCTCCCAGTCTCTGACCATGTCATACTTGATGCTTGGCTCAACGTACCATTCTCCAAGAGTGTCTCAGATTTTACCGAACCAGGCTTGACCCCCGATGATCTCTGGGTAAATGTCTTTGTCAGCAATTGTGACCATTTCGTTCCACCATCTGTTGAACAGGTCGTGGTACCATTGGTGGTGCATTCTCATGTCGAGCAGAATCATTGTCGGCAAGTGGTTCACAGCAGCAGCTCCGACCATCTGGCCGTCATACACAATGCCGAGGTCACTGGCTGCCATGGCATCCAAGTGTTCGTTGTTTGCGTTGGTGACAAGAGTGTAGGCTCCCTTCCATCCTCTCTGGTCGAGCAGTTCTCTGACATGGGCTTCAGCAGCAGACCCTTGCTCGACAGAAATGACTGTGTGGAACTTGTGGAGAGGCTTTGCCACTGGAGACAAACTTGTGGGAGCAGAGTACTTGAGCAAGAATTCTTGGACTCCGTTTCTGACTGACTCGAAAGAGAAAGTAGACTCGTTGTGTTCATTGCCAGGAGCAAAGAAGATCACTGTGGCATCATCATCGATCTGATGCGTCTGTCTGAACTTGGCTTTGAGTTTTTGGATAGCTTTTTCTAAGTCTCCTGCAAACCATTTTTCATTAAGCTGGACAGAGTTTTCTTGAACCAAATGCCTGAGTTCAGGGTCTGAGGTCAATAAGTGCTTTACAGCATCGTAGACACCTTGCTGTCCAACATATTGTCCTGGGAAGAAATATCCACCTGGAGTAGCTGTTCTTTTAGGAATGGTATAGTGCATGTAATCAATATATTTTTCATGATAATGCCTGAAATCTCTAACAAATCTGTTAACATAATGCTTCTTTGGCATTTCAGGACTATTAGTGTAGTACTTGTTCAGCCTTTGCATCAACTCAAGAGTGAAGTATTCATTATCGAAGGAGATAACCACAGATGGCTTATGTTTGTAAATATTTCTTACAAAATCATTCTCTTCTAAGAGACTGAGAACTGAGTTAGCATTTCTACGATAATGAGCGTTAATCCAGTTCCAGCTACTCCATCTCATAGCGCTATGATTTTCGGTTAACTGCTTGGTTTTCCTCCAAGTATAAAAAGTCTTATCATTAAAATTTCCAATATCAATTTCACTATTAGCAAGTCCTTCATATCTCATCCTATGACCTCCGAGGCCAAAATAGTCAAAACTCTCACCTCCAGAGACTTTCTTAAGCGACTGCATGAACCTCGCCCCTCTGGCATCTGCAGAGTTAGAGTTTGCCAATATCGTAACATGATTATTAACCCCAGAGAAGCATCGTTTTATGACATTACGATGTGTCGATACCATTCGCTTGTAAAAAGTATTATTCGTTAGCATTTTATATAATAATTTTATAATTTCTATATAAAAACTTTTAAAAGGGGTTTTGGGGTTTTGGGGTTTTGGGGTTTTGGGG